ATTAGGTGAGTTGTATGGCATGAGTTTCTCATGTTTCCATATTCATATATTTCTGTATTTCTGTACAATGCAGCCAACATACCATGCAATGTGGTTTTTTTAGAATAACTTCCCCTTCCTCCTGCCCTCCCTCTCCTCCCCCTCCTGCACTTTTGTTCTTTCAGGCTTGGACTTTCATTTCTTCAGATGGGACTTGTGCAAACGGTCACCACTTGCATTCAGGTTGGTTCCAAGGGACCATGGAGTTCGTACAGCATGCTGTCACACCTTTCTTCCTTCCCTTCAGTGCGGATGTCCTCCCCTTCCATAGTGCCACTGACCAGTTCTGAGTACAGTGTAGCAGCTGTGTATGTGGGATTGAGTGTTTGCCATTGTGCAAGCCTTTTGTGTGTTATGTGCTTTGGGGGGGTACATGGCTATATATTTAGAGTGTGCTCTATTCTCATCTGAATTCCTGGCGCTTTCTCCCTTCTGGGTCGCCGCCACCCAGGGCCCTGGCCTCTTGGCGAGATCACTCAGCCTCATCACAGATCGGTCACACTTCCAGACCATCTCTTTCATTGGTTGCAGCTCTACTTATGACAATCTCAATACTAATTGAGTACTAATCTATGACTAAATTCACCTCTCATTTGATGCCAAGGGAAAGCTAATGTGAAAAATACAGATGTGTGGCAGATGGCTGACTGACCTCTGACTTCATGTGATTTTCCTTGACTTCACTTTTTACTGAGTATCAGTGGCCACTGTTCTCTTCACATGTGTTCTTTGAAGTGTATTCACCAAATGGTAGATTGTGTTATATCTGAATCTTGAATGAATATTATAGACAGCCTTTGATCATTCACTGGTGGTACTGTCAAGACAATTTGCAGGCAAGACTGGATAGGGTAAATGACTGAACAGTCATCCTAGCTCATGATTTGGGAAGACTGAAAAAAGACTAATGACACTTATTCAACCTAGGCAGATGTAAGGCAGTGGCTCCAAGTCTGAAGGTAAAAGATAGGATAGCCACTTCCTATCTGAAGAGAAAATACAGTCTCCACTAATGTCATAGACATGACATGACAGCAAATGTGTACATGCAACAATGGCAAAAAGTCAACTGAACTCAATCCTTCAACCATGTGCCCATGATCCTTTACATAGTCAAGGAGACTTTAAACAAACTCAATATCAGAAAAGCAGACTACAAACTTTTGAAGTGAAAAAAGCAGACATTACAAACTTTTGTAGTCTCAAAAAGGGGACACTACAAACTTTTGTAGTGAAAAAGCAGACATCAGTAGAATTTGTAGTCTATGTCTGAGTTTTGTAGTCTTTTGTTATGTTTTCTAGTCCATTAGTAAAATTTGTAGTCTGCCAGAGTCAATTTCCCATTTAGGTTATACACCTTCCTTTTGGGGTCAATTTTCCCATGATACAACTATTGTAGCCCCATCTATTAGTTTTCCAAATGTGTTGAAATCATGTTGTTGGATGATGTTTTCATGGAGAAAAATGGAAAAACAAAAAAAAACACAGTGGTGAGAAAAATCTTTTGCCTCATATCTCCACAACAGGTACACTTTAGAACATAATTCAAACAGATTCTGGAAGCTACAGAGCAGGGCTACAACTTTGGATTTTGACCATTTTAGGAAATTGGTCATGTGACCACTCCCCCAGAGACCTATTACATGGACCCCTAGTTGTATTGTCATTCTTATCTTGATTTCTCCCACTCTTTGGTCATATCCAATCATATTTCCTCTTTTATATATACTAGCTGATACCCGTGCATTCGCATGGGTGGCTCTTTCTTGATATTACTCTGCCCAAGTGTGTTCCGATCTTATGTAGTGAAATTTGCCTCACTGTTCTCTAAAGACATGTGGTGTAATGGTCTAATGGGCTGCTTTCTGTGTATTATGTGTGGTGTGCCCGATTCCTGAACCCTTGTGTTCGATCTCTGGCTGAGGTAAAATTTCCTGCACTTTCTGATCCTGCAAGCTCTGTGTCCAATCCCAGGAAAGTGTTACAGCTAACTGCATAATCGTAGACCATATCTCAGCCCAGGCTGTAGTTTTAGACCAAATTGACCTGGAATGTTCCACCTTATTCATTTCCATAGGGTGTGCAATTGGCCACTTGGCCAAAATGCCATGGGTTGTAGAACATTGGAAT